TCTCTTGTTTGTTTATCTCCCACTTTGCGCCAGAAACAGGAAACCAGCGGTTGTCGCGCTAAACAACAGCAGCACGTTTAAGCTTGATCAGCTGTTGTTAGAATTTATTTAATATTAATTTCTAGTTTTCAAGCTGCTGGTCATGATATCGGTTTGGATATGTGGTGAGAGGAAAACATGAAGATGAAACCAGGAGATGTCCTTACTGAAACATCAGAGCTGAACAGGTGATGGAGAAACAGGTTTACCTTTTAGGTGACATGGATGAGTTGAAGGGAAGTTATGAACTGTTTCTGAGAGACAAATAACACCAGGATCCTTTGTAGCTGACAACTGGTAACTGCAGGGGCGGGTCTAGCAAAGTTTTGCCAGGGGGCCAGGTAGGGCATTAACAGGGAAAGGGGGGCACAAAGAAATACTTTTCTTTCTTCTTCTCATTTAAAATATCTCACTTTTATTAAATAATTATCTGAATCTTACAACCAAAGTTTTTATCTGAAGTAAAATGTATAGAAATCATACATATACCAACAAGACAGTGTACATCACTGTTACAACAGTGTTTGTTTTCATTCAAAGGCTCTATGGCTTTAATACCTGGTGGGCCGGTCTCTAGTCAAAATGCCGATTTTTTTGTCCCAGTCCAGCCCTGCCAGTAACTGCATGTCTTTGGACTGTGGGAGGAAGCCGGAGTGCCCTGGGAGAATAAAAATAATAGCCGATCTAGGAGAGAAGGACAACTGCTGCCTGATCCCTTATGTGTCAGAAGTATTGGAACAGTTGAGACACATTTTTTCTAAACACCATGGGCCAAAAATTGATCTACCCCAACGATCGGGTCCCTGACACAAACAGAGTAATATAGTGCACGCTGTTAAGTGCAAGGAGGATTGTCATGATTTATACATTGGGCAAACTCTGGTATAGCAGCTGGCACAACACAGAAGACCTGACTAGTCGGGCCAGGACTTCACACTCTATTTCCTTCAACAGGCCAGGTGGACACTCTTTCAATGATGAGGATGTACACATCCTGGACAGGGAGGAACGCTGGTTTGAGCGAGGAGTCAAGGAGACCATTTATGTGAAAAGGGAAAGGCCATCTCTGAATCGCGGAAGGGGCCTAAGGGTGCCATCTTACAATGCTGGCCTCACAACCCATTGTTCATTCAGTGGGGTAGATTTAGTCATTGTGCAAATGTACTCTTTAGGTTGGGGAAACCTGCAGTCAGCTGAGATTAAGAAATGACTTGGATGAGTGATGAAATGTTTCTCCCGCTTAAAGCGCTACATCCAGATGAACAGAATCAACGTCTTGGGATAAAGAAGTGACAGGAGAAGCAGCCTTCAGCCATACCGTGAGTGTTAATATCAGTGCACGACAACAACCAGTTTATTGAAGAACATTTGTGACATTAAAATAAGACTATTTTTAAACTATGCTGTCATATTACCTTAATAAGAACTTAGCTAGACAGCCAGATCCACATCTGAGTCTGACTAACAAGACAGGGGACGCAAAAATGAACACAATGCAAAAGACAAGTGATTGTTACAATTAAACAGGAAATCACTAACACGCAGAGAGAGAGAGACAGACAGACAGACAGACAGACACATGGACAAAATAAGAACTGCCTAAACTAAACAAGGACCAGAGAACTAAGAAAACTCAGAAGCATAACGAAATAACACACTCAGGAAATAAACCTAAATAAACCAGTCCAGAAATAACTAACAGTCTCATGCAAAGACAAAATACTGTCATGGCGACAGACCACTGTCACCATGACCACATAACATTTTGAATAAGGTAAACTTGTAAAAATAAAAATAAAAATCCATAAAAGTCTTTTGTAAAACAGAAATTAAATGTAAAAATGTGTAATATGATTTTTAAAAGCAAGTCTATTTAGAGTTTTTTCCCCTTAAAGTCTTTTCTATGTTAAACCAAAATTCAAATAAAGCAGTAAAGGCTGTAACCTGAAAAATTCAGTTCTGAAAATACAGTTCCTTATAATAAATAAAATCTGAACAAATTATTAATTTAATTTGGATTTTATCAGTGTTGAACAAAAAGTGGACCTGAGACGGCATAAAATCAAAGTATCCAACAAATTTAAGTAATTCAATTTAGTGGTTGTACATGGAAGGTCAGTCAGCTTGACAAATAACAGTCAAAAAGCAAAGTTCAAAAAGAAGAAAACATTCATGTTAAAACAGCCAAAAATAGTTAAGATGTAACCACACAGTCAGTCTGTAATCTAAAGGATGAATACACAAACCATAAACTGAAATAACAGTTTTATAGCTACTGAACTTCACCTTTTTATGGTCACTGTGTTTATTTAACAAGGAACCTTGGAAGGTTGATTTAAATTAAATATTTCCTTCACTTACTAAAATCCTATGAGCAATGTGTCCATACCAACATATTTGCCCCACGTTTGCCCTACGACAGCAATGACAGCAAAAACAAACCAAAACAAAACCCCTCTCTATTGCCCCTAGTGTCTGACTGCAGTGTAGATCATAACCTCACTGTGATTTTGGTTTCATTGCACTAGTTTTCTTATAAGTTTGTTTTTATCACTAACATAATATATTTACCCAGAATAGGGAAATCCCTCGGTTGTTAATTCAAGAAGTATTGTAGTTCGGACATTGCTTCTGCTTGTTTGATTGTATTAATGGAAGGATGCTAAGATGTGCAGCAGGAAGCCAAAGATGAGACACTGATACTGTTTATATTAGAAACAGAGAAAGGCCATGGAGCCAACCCTGCTGTTGTTCCTCACATCTCTGTGTGGTGTATTTCAAGCATCATCATACACGTAATAATGTTGGCCCCGTAATAATATTGAAACTGACCAATTCTACTGTCACGACATGATAACTTTACAATGCGGAGAAAAAAGAATGTTTCTTTTTATTTATAGTATGATGCGATTCCATACTAGATTATTGACGAATGTGAGTTGTTGTTATTCAGCCTGCTATGTGCCCCTTTTCAAAAGCTAGTTATACAATATATAAAACTCTTCCAAACTTCGACCCCCAAAAAACTGATGTCATGCTTTCTCCCAAAACTCATCAGTTTTCAACTCAGACTACAGTCCTACACACCAACACCCTCTATACCCCTCTATTAATTTACATATGAACAAAAAGCAAATACAAAAACCAACCCAAAGAGACTTTAAAGCGATCTCCGCATGATTCTACTGTAGAAACATGAACAGGTAGAAATGGAGCCTGCAAGTCTCTGTTTTTGTTACCTGCTGTATATTCAAATCAATTCAATTTTATTTATATAGTGCCAAATCCCAACAGCAGATTTATATTGTACAGTAGATACAGAGAAAAATCCAACAATCATATGACCCCCTATGAGCAAGCACTTTGGCGACAGTGGGAAGGAAAAACTCCCTTTTAACTGGAAGAAACCTCCGGCAGAACCAGGCTCAGGGAGGGCCGGGGCCATCTGCTGCAACCGGTTGGGGTGAGACAAGGAAGACAGGATAAAAGACATGCTGTGGAAGAGAGACAGAGATTAATAACAGACATGATTCAATGCAGAGAGGTCTGTTAACACATAGTGAGTGAGAAAGGTGACTGGAAAGGAAAAACTCAATGCATCATGGGAATCCCCGGCAGCCTACGTCTATTGCAGCATAGCTAAGGGAGGATTCAGGGTCACCTGGTCCAGCCCTAACTATATGCTTTAGCAAAAAGGAAAGTTTTAAGCCTAATCTTAAAAGTAGAGAAAGTGTCTGGAAGCTGGTTCCACAGAAGAGGGGCCTGAAAACTGAAGGCTCTCCCTCCCATTCTACTTCTAAATACTCTAGGAACAACAAGCCTGCAATGCGAGAGCGAAGTGCTCTAATAGGGTGATATGGTACTACAAGGTCCTTAAGACAGTGGTTCCCAAACTTTTTTTTGCTGCGCCCCCCTTTGTTTTACAAGAAAAATGTTCGCGCCCCCCTCGCGCGCGCACACGCACGAACATATCCTCCAACCACACACACCCATATTTTTCTCCATTGCGGTTTATTTCACACCTCAAACATTTAGTAAACAGTTAAGCAAATACAAGTAATATGCAATAAATTGCAGGTGGTAAGGAAATAAACTACTAACTCTTTTAAGCTACGTCCGCACCTACACGGGTATTTTTGAAAACGCAGCTGTTTCGTCCACACGTAAACGGCGTTTGGAATCACTCCTTAAAACTCCCTTTTTTCGTTTAGGTGTGGACGAGGAATACAGAGTTCATCACGCAACGTCAAAGGTATGTGCCTTTTTTCACGTCACGCTGTGCGCCACGTAATTGTTTACATGAGATGAATTGCAGAATGGGAGACAGAGACAAAATACTGTTAATCTGACCATCTTCAGGTTTTACGCGCAGTTACTGTCCCTCCATTTACAAAGGCAGAGGCGTCACGGTGTAATTATTTTACATGTAGTTGTTTTTTTTCCTGTGTAATAATATTCAACATTGCTATCAATAAAATTTTCAATCCCTCTGCAAAATGGGTTCAAAAACATAAACAACTGTTGGATGCTGTTTGTCCGTGATTTGTACAGGGGGAAGAAATCGTAGCAGGATCAGCCTGATGTTATTTGTATCCCGCTGTAACTTTACTGTGTAAAGAGCTAACATCTCCAAAATGTCAGGAGTAGTTAGTCATTACAACAAGTGTTTGTGAACTAAAAATCAAGAATGTGGGATACTGTTTGATTTGAAGAGCCCAGCGCTGCTCCTGACGAAGGAAAGACCAATTCTGCAGGGGAGACCTACCTTGGCACTTGTGCAGGTGAAACCAAAGGGAAGATATGCTTCACCATATTTTCTAGTCTTTGGCTTAGAATGAAGTTGGTTTGGAAACATATTTAGCTATGCTTCATCTCCTGATTTGCGTTTGTGGAGGCGCCCCGTGCTAGCAGTGTCCAAGCTTTGGTTTGTTTTTTTTTTTCTCTTCCTTTTCATAGCGCCCCCCCTCCTAGGGGGCGGGCCCCACACTTTGGGAAGGTCTGCCTTAAGATATGATGTAATATATCCGCTCTGGCTGCTGCTGCTTGCTTTTACAGCTGGACTTTGAACCTAATCACCTCATCTAAGTATTATAAGTGCTGTAGGAGTCAAGCTGTGTTTTATTAACCAGCATAGTGTAACAGTTAGTGTAACAGTAGATGATGTTTAACACTTTTACAGCTGTACTTTGAACCGAATTATCCCATCGAAGTATTACATGGGCTGTGAGAGTCAAGCTTTTGTGCTGCTTTTGTGTTTTATTAACCAGTCTAGAAGTTGAGCTGATTCACAGTGTTGCTGCGCTTCTTCATTGTTTCGTGTGAACTCTTCTCCGTGAAGGATCAACCTGTGTAAGTTCACTAACGTAAAGCAGAGGTAATTGTGCGATTGTAATCTGGCTAGCAGACAAATTTATTACACAGCAACTCATATAGTCACTATAGTCACTTTTTTGTTTTTTAACCAGCAACAATTGCCTCAAGATAATTTGTATAATACAAGAGAGGTGATAGGATCTGGAAATTCCTTGTTTATGGTAGCTAAATGTTATATTAAACACAACCATAAACAGTGCTACACATAAGCAGACTTAATAAAATCAAATTAAATTACAAAAAAGGAAACTAAGTAAAAAACAATAAAAATAATTTTCCTTAAGGGTCATGCTTAGTAATGTAGTGTAAATAACAACAGCATTTCTCACTGTTTTATGATTTTCCTTGTAGTTACTTTCGTCATGCAGCTGGTGATCCGTCGGTACCGTCCTGCAGACAAGGACACAGTGCTCACCCTCTTCAGTACTGGCACCTTGGAGCATATCCGTCCATGTTTCTATAACGCCATGACCAGTCCCCTTTACCTCACCATCACCTCGACTCTGTGTGTTGTTGGTTATCTCCTTGGCTCTGTGTTTGGGGCTGTGCTGTTCCCAGCAGCTTGGGTAGGTCTCATCTACTGCTGCTGTCATGAAGTATATGCATACTACGTCAGGTATAAACTTCGCACCGACATGCAGGACATCCCTGGGAACTTCCTCAGCAGACCTGATGACTGTTTCTGGGTGGCTGAGGCTGAGGTTGGAGCGAGAGCCCAGGTTGTTGGTATGGTGGCTGTGGTAGCTAAACACAGTGGGACAGAAAAGTATGGGGAAATGTTCAGAATGATCATTTTCCCACAGTATAGACGGATGGGCCTCGGCTTTAGGTTGACTCAGACCGCGGTTGACTTCTGTAAAGAACGGGGCTTCTCCAAGGTGGTGTTGGAGACTAGCTCCACCCAAATGGCAGCTGTGGCCCTGTACAGCAAAGTGGGGTTTAACCGTGTCCAGTCTCATATCAAAGCACAGGCAGCTCATTGGATCATTTCACTGGCCAGGGTCACTATTATAAGGATGGAAAAATACTTGTAAATGTAAAATAACACTCATCAGCAATGTGTTGTTTTCATGCTTGGCTCCTCTTTAACAGTGGTTTAATATTTGGCAATGGTTAAACTTGACTGTAACCAAAACCCTCTGGTTTAGGTGTGAAAAAATGCCAAATTTGATGTACACTGTAGGACTCTATGAACAGATATGAATGTAAGGAGCAAGATGTTGTTACTAAAAACTTTCTGGTTTCCTCCCACTACACCATGATTCACTAACAGTTAATCCTTACAATGTGTACTTTTCAGTGATGATTTCACATAATCAGTTGTACTGACCACTTTTAACTGTTTTAATTAATAAATTATTTTTATTTAAAAAAAAAAAAAGAAAGGGAAAAAAAATACGTTTCAAAATCTCCGTATACGCCCACAGGCGTTAGTAGTTGTAACAAATAGTGTTTGAAAATTCATCATTCTTATTATGCGAGAGATAACGTCTAATGTATAATGTCTAAATGTTTTTCTATTAATTACCAATATTTGGAGAAACATTTTAAAATACAGTACACACAACATATTGTAAGCACATGATACAAAGTATGTAAAAATCTTAATAACAAGGATTTTAATTTGCTTATGAAATGAAGATTTGATTTTTAAATTCAGTATGTTGTACCCAAATCTATACTGTGGATATGGATGTGAACAGCAGAGGGCGCTACTGACCTGAGTAACACTGAAGCTCCTTTGATGAAAATAATTTATTTCTGATATTATACAGCATTCACTTCCTTTTCTACAAGGAAGTATTAGATGTTTAAAATATAACTGCACCATAAACAGTGCTGGAAAGTAAATACAGTACATTTGCTAATATGCCGTTTAAACTCAAGTTTTACATCTAGAATATGTTGTGATTGGCTATGATGCAGCATGTGAAACAATAACAAATGAGCTAGTGCACGGCAGTTCATGGGTAATCAAAATCGTTTGAAACTCACTGACTGCTGTAGATGCTGTGCATTAAAACTTCCAACATTTTAAAATATGATTTGATTTGTCATTTGTCACAATAGAAAGGAAAATAATAGTATCTCCTGTGAAAGTCCATTAATAATAACTTTGATTTGTATAGCGCCTTTCAAAAAACCCCAAGGATGCTTAGCTAAAAAGCTAGAGGTTGAAGGTTTTGTTGAAGAGATGAGGTTTGAGAAGTCCCATGGATGAGGACCGTAGCATCCGAGACTGTGTGTATGGTTCCAGGAGGTCAGAGACATATTGAGATGCCAGGGCATTGAGGGATTTGTAAGTGAGAAGAAGAATCTCGTAAGTAATGTGTGACTTGACCGGAAGCCAGTGGAGATTAATGAGGGTGTGGGTAATATGTTCCCAGAGCTTAGTGCCTGTTAGAAGCCTTCCAGACTGTTAAAAGCCTTCTGGACATACTGGAGGCTATCCAGGGCTTTAGTGGAAATCCCAAACAGGACTGCATTTCAGTAGTCCAGCTTGGTGGTGACAAATGCATGGATGAGTCTCTGCTATAGAGTCAGTGAGTGATGCCCGAATTCAAGAGATGTTCATTAGGTGGAAAAAAGCTGCTTAGGTGACAGATTTGACATAAGCACGGAATGAAAGAGTGGAGTCTAAATTGACACCCAGATTGCAAACCTCAGAGGGAGGTTAAATAAGGAAGCCGTCTATGTCAATGCGTACAGTGGCTTGCAAAAGTATTCGGCCCCCTTGAACTTTCTCACATTTTGTCACATTACAGCCACAAACATGAATCAATTTTATTGGAATTCCACATGAAAGACCAACACAAAGTAGTGTACACGTGAGAAGTGGAACGAAAATCATACATGATTCCAAACATTTTTTACAAATAAATAACTGCAAAGTGGGGTGTGCGTAATTATTCAGCCCCCTTTGGTCTGAGTGCAGTCAGTTGCCCATAGACGTTGCCTGATGAGTGCTAATGACTAGAGTGCACCTGTGTGTAATCTAATGTCAGTACAAATACAGCTGCTCTGTGACGGCCTCAGAGGTTGTCTAAGAGAATATTGGGAGCAACAACACCATGAAGTCCAAAGAACACACCAGACAGGTCAGGGATAAAGTTATTGAGAAATTTAATATAGCAGGCTTAGGCTACAAAAAGATTTCCCAAGCCTTGAACATCCCACGGAGCACTGTTCAAGCGATCATTCAGAAACGGAAGCGTGCACTGCACAAAGTTGGCCTTTATGGAAGAGTGGCAAGAAGAAAGCCATTGTTAACAGAAAACCATAAGAAGTCCCGTTTGCAGTTTGCCACAAGCCATGTGGGGGACACAGCAAACATGTGGTGCTCTGGTCAGATGAGACCATAATGGAACTTTTTGGCCAAAATGCAAAGCGCTATGTGTGGCGGAAAACTAACACTGCACATCACTCTGAACACACCATCCCCACTGTCAAATATGGTGGTGGCAGCATCATGTTCTGGGGGTGCTTCTCTTCAGCAGGGACAGGGAAGCTGGTCAGAGTTGATGGGAAGATGGATGGAGCCAAATAGAGGGCAATCTAGGAAGAAAACCTCTTGGAGTCTGCAAAAGACTTGAGACTGGGGCAGAGGTTCATCTTCCAGCAGGACAAGGACCTGAAAACTGCTGTTCACAAATGCTGTCCATCTAATCTGACTGAGCTGGAGCTGTATATATATATATATATACATATAAATGGTAAATGGCCTGTATTTGTATAGCGCTTTACTAGTCCCTAAGGACCCTAAAGCGCTTTACATATCCAGTCATCCACCCATTCACACACACATTCACACACTGGTGATGGCAAGCTACATTGTAGCCACAGCCACCCTGGGGCGCACTGACAGAGGCGAGGCTGCCGGACACTGGTGCCACCGGGCCCTCTGACCACCACCAGTAGGCAACGGGTGAAGTGTCTTGCCCAAGGACACGACCGAGACTGTCCAAGCCAGGGCTCGAACCGGCAACCTTCCGATTACAAGGCGAGCTCCCAGCTCTTGAGCCACGATCGCCCGTATATATATATATATATACACATATATATACACACACATATATATATATATATACACACACACACACATACATACATACATACATATATATATATATATACAACATCATATCATATATATATATATATTATATATATATATATACTATATATATATATATATATATATATATATACTATATATATATATATATATATATATATATAATATATATATATATATATATAATATATATATATATATATATATATATATATACGTATATATATATATATATATATATATATATACGTATATATATATATATATATATATATATATATATATTATATATATATAATATATATATATATATATGTATATATATATATATATATATATATATATACGTATATACATATATATATATATATACACGTATATACGTATATACATATATATATATATATACACGTATATACGTATATACATATATATATATATATACACGTATATACGTATATATATATATATATATATATATACGTATATACGTATATACGTATATATATATATATATATATATATATATACGTATATACGTATATATATATATATATATATATATATATATGTATATACGTATATACGTATATATATAATATATATATATATATATATATAATATATATATATATATATATATATATATATATATATATATATATATATATATATATATATATATATATATATATACGTATATACTATATAATATATATATATATATATATATACGTATATACGTATATATATATATATATATATATATATATATATATATATATATATACGTATATACGTATATATACGTATATATATATATGTATATATGTATATACGTATATATATGTACATATATATATATATGTATATATATATATACGTATATATACATATATATATATATATATATACGTATATATATATATATATATATATATATATATTATATATATATATATATATAATATATATATATATATATATATATATATATATATATATATATATATACGTATGTATTATATATATATATATATATTATATATATATATATATATATTATATATATATATATATATATATATATATATATACATATATATATATATATATATATGTATACACGTTATATATACGTATATATATATATATATATATATATATATATATATACGTATATATATGTATACGTATATATATATATATATATAACATATATATATACACTATATATATACGTATATATATATATATATATATTATTATATTATATATTATATATTATATATATACGTATATATATTATATATGTATATTATTATATATGTATATATATATTATATATATATTATTATATATATATATATATATATATTATATATATATATATACGTGTATATATATATTATATATATATATATATATACACGTATATATATACGTATATTATATATACGTATATATATACACGTGTTATATATATATATATATATACACACACACAACACATATATATATATATATATATATATATATATATATATACATATATATACATACGTGTATATATACACTCTGCAAAAGTTTTAGGCAGGTGTGAAGGTGTGAAAAAATGCTGTAAACAAAGAATGCTTTCAGAAATATAAATGATTGTTTATTGGCCCCAAATGTATTCTGCAGTAGGACGACGACCCCAGACATAAAGCCAAAGTCATTAAGAACTATCTTCAGTGTAAAGAAGAACAAGAAGTACTGGAATTGATGGTATGGCCCCCACAAAGCCTTGATCACAAAAACATTTAGTGTGACTGGGATTACATGAAGAGACAGAAGGATGTGAGGAAGGATGCATCCACAGAAGATCTGTGGGTAGTTCTCCAAAATGTTTGGAGCAACCTATCAGCCGAGTTCCTGTGGGCAAGTGTGCCCAGAAGAACTGATGCTGTTTTAAAGGCAAAAGGTGGTCACACCAAATATTGATTTGATTTAGATTTCTCTTTTGTTCATTCACTGCATTTTGTTGATTGATGAAAATAAATGATTGACACTTCTATTTTTGAAAGCATTCTTTGTTTACAGAATTTTTTCCTCACCTACATTAAAAATGTTTGCACAGCATAACCACTTTTGGGGTTGTTAATCATGAAAAGTAGTGTACAATGTCTGTAGACCGTACAGGTAATGTATTAGACATGTATTACTTTTCTTAAATTAATCACCTGCCAAAGAAAGTAGTTTGGTACACTATTTTTTTAATTTACTTTCCTGTTACTCCATAAAATGGCCTGAAATGCACTGTCACATAATTACCAGATAACATTATAAACCTAAGGTTACAGTCCCACACACCAACATAAATCCTTATTCAAATGAGGACACATATAGAATCCCTTTTGCAGTGTTTATGAACACAAAGTTGACAACACAAAGCAAATATGAAAACCAGCCCGAAGAGACTGTAAAGCGATCTCCACATGATACTACTGTCGAAACATGAATTTTGATGTTTTATTCTTCCCACAGATAACAGAAGAATCTTTGTTACACAAGAAATGGCATAAGTGCAAATCCCTTTTTAGCAGATTATCTCTTTCTTTTTAATATACAACACTGGCAACTACGTTAACAGTGGACTATGCAGCTCACTTCATAAGTATAAATTAGGACTGAGATGACATGAGCCCCTCCTTTACGTTGGTTGCCAACCGCCGTTAAACACAAAGAAGAAGAAGAAGAAGCCATGAGCTGTATTTCAGTTTGTTGATGGTAACTCACAGAAATATTGATTGCGAGTTGTTCACACTGTCGCCAGCGTTCACATAGATAGACTGGCCAGCCCCCAGATAGACTGCAAAAGCGCTACTCCCGCTGAACCATAATTTCCGCGATTTTTGACACTTCCGCGTTGCCTTCGTTTTTCGCCCCGCAGGTTGTTGGAAGGTTGTGATTTCTGCAGGATAATGGCGTGGATTAGGAAAACTTTCTGCATGGTTGACTTTGTGTAACATTTTTGTGTAACAGTAGAGGATGTTTAACACTTTTACAGCTGTACTTTGAACCGAATCATCCCATCGAAGTATTACATGGGCTTTGAGAGTCAAGCCTTTGTGCTGCTTTTGTGTTTTATTAACCAGTCTAGAAGTTGAGCTGATTCACGGTGTTGCTGCGCTTCTTCATTGTTTCGTGTGAACTCTTCTCATGAAGGATCAACCTGTGCAAGTTCACTAACGTAAGGCAGAGGTAATTGTGCGATTGTAATATGGCTAGCAGACAAATGTGTTACACAGCAACTCATATAATCGCTTCTTGTTTCGTTTTTTTATTAAGTTGGGTAAGGTCTGTTAGAGAGCTGTTGATGGTGCACGAACGGGCCTGTGCTGTTGCTGAATGATAGTGATGTGCGGATCGATCCTGAAATATCGATTCCTCCGATACCAATCATTTATGTTCTAGAATCGATTCTCACATTAAAATATCGATATTTTAGTAATTTAGGGTAAATTTGTAGTTTATCATTAACAGGAACACAGTGGAAAGAAACTATAACATTCGGATTGTCTACATTCAAAGGAACTACTTCCTCTTCCGCCTTTCATAGTCATTTGCGAAATAGGCTGTCTGTTTCGCAGCCCCTTGGCGTGCGCACTCACAACAATGACTGAGCGTAATTGGAGTCATGTGCGAACCTATTTTACCTCCACAAAACTGAGACGTGGTTTGCCATACATGTGGGGGAAAAAAGGTGAGGTGTTGTGGCCACACTAGAGAGACATTCAAAAATGCTGTTGGGGTGGGGATAAATACATTTTACAGTGTTTATTTATCGGATAAAATACGTTAAATGTCCGGATACAGCGGGGGTGTCCAAATTCAGAGGCTGCTTCCACCCGAGGACCCGGGCCTTCGCGGTCTAAAGAAAGACGGGTATACGGCACGAGCTCCCTCGGTGGAGTGAAACTGCCGTCTGCTCCTTGCTATCTAAAATATAACCGGACGCTGGCGTAAACTCTCGACCGTCTCACACTTCTGTTTAATCAGTTTTCTGTTTGACGTTTATTCAGCTGTGTGAAAACCCTGAGGAACCCTCCTGAGGGATTAATAAAGTTACATTTTATTTAATCTAATCTAATAACTTTAATCTCAGCCAAACTGATTTACTCACAAACAAATAAAACACTGAAAAAGCCAAACAATAACATTTTTAAGTTATCTAAGTGACTTATATATCATGTTTAACCCAAGTAGCGAAAGACCGCGGGGGTTTGAAAACGATCAATCGCAAGGGTGTAGATTTGATTGTGGCATTGGTGGGGACGGATGATTCAACCACTGAACCCTGCCCCGTTTCTTATTTTTTCCTTTTTGTTTTTGCTTCTTGATAAAAGGAGAAATATACTTGCCTACATATGCTATTCTACATGCTTTTAAACCATTTAAAATTACAATTCATAGTTTTATATGTGAATTATATAATGTTAAATTACTATTAAACAAATGACTAAGTATTTTAGACTTTAGTTTACTTCAGTCATATTCCATATAAATCAGGTATCATACAAAAATAAAAATAGCTTCAAATACAGTCATGACAATAAAAGAATATGACTTTAAGGACTTAACAACATTGCTTCAGTTATAGTACACCAACATCTCTGACACATTAGCACTAAGGGAACACTGGATGACCTGGTGGGTTTTGTCCATAAAACTACTCGTCTAAGATTACCACAAAGTAAAAGATCTCTCAGCAACATTATGCAACATTTTAGGCACTATTGCCCTCTATCAGATCAGTGAGCTGAGATGTTTTATTCTAAACATGAACTACTGTTACAGCAACAGACATGGACTACATGCCCACACAACAAACACATGCCTGCTCCTCTCGTTAGCTGAAATGAACTGCTGGCATATTTGTTTTACATCTATACTGTCCAGTCTCTCCTGGTGTACATGGCATCACATTATTCATGGTTACATACAATTTTAGACTGATGTGGGCCAAGCCTAGCACCTACTTGCCAACCTTGAGACCTCAGAATTAGGGAGACATTCAAAGGGGCTGGGGGGAGGTATGCATGTACATGTATATACAAAAACTTTAATTTTACAGTGTTTATTTATCGGATAAAATAAGTTAAATGTCACCGTTATTTTTGTCCGACCGTAAACAGGCCGGGGGGTGTCCAAATTCAGAGGCTGCGTCCACCTGAGGACCCGGGTGAGCCGGGTCCTCCGAAAGCCGGGTAGACCGGAAATGAGCGACTGTGAAATTGGACGGTCTAGCCTTCAGGATTACGTCACCTGCCGTCTGCTCCTTGCTGTCTAAAATATAACCGGACGCTGGTGTAGATGGTCGAATAAACTGCTGTTTTCACACAGCAGTTTATTCAGCTGTGTGAGAACCTGGAGGAATCATCCCGAGGGATTAATAAAGTTTTATTTAATCTAATTTAATCTAATAACTTTAATCTCAGCCAAACTCACCAACAAATAAAACACAACTAAAGCACTGAAAAAGGCCAAACGATAACATGTTTAAGTTATTTGACGTTTACACAGCTACATTCTCGCCTGAAAATGTGTTAAAAGTTTATTTTGCGACCCAGAAAGAGTAATAAGAGTAATATTAAAACTAAGTAGCTGCAGTAATAGTGGCCATTGTTGGAAACTGGAATTGGCTGGGCCAGTCTGGGATATGGTTTTCAGTTTTGTTGTCCGGGTGGAAAATCGGGAGAAACGCTGACAGATCGTTTTTCTCTTACTATTGGGTTTGTTTTTCTTTACTCGAAGAGATCAAATTATTGGTGGGGACAATTCAATAATCGCTGGATATTGGTGGGGACATGTCCCCTCCGTCCATGCCAAATCTACACCCTTGGTCGATCGGCTCAGATATTTGAAGTTTGCACGGCTACATTCTCACCTGAAAATATGTTAAAAGTTTTTTTGCGACCCAGAAAGAGAAATAAGAGTAATATTAAAACTAAGCAGCTGCCGTCATTGTTCGAAACAAGTACTCTGATGTCCTGAAATCATTATGATGCTATAATTTGAGATACAATGAATAAAATAAGTTTTTGTACAAAGTACCGGTATCGGATCAGTATCGTCGATACCACCCTGAATATTACTTGGTATCGGATCGGAAAGGAAATCAGTGGTATCGCACATCACTACTGAATGAGTTGAGTATAACGTGAGTGAGTATAACATCAACAAAGCATTTTCATCCAGAGAACTGGCACTCCTTAGATCTTTTTCTTTTTTTCAGACCACCCTATGTAAACCTTGGAGATGGCTGTATAGGAACACCCTGTCGATCAGTAGTTTCTGCACCAACAACCTTGCCATGTTCAAAGTCACTCACATTACCTTTCTTCCCCATTCTGATGCTTGCTTTGAATATCAGCAGCATATTGTGAGCATGTTTACTTGCCAAATAGTTTTGAGTCACTGCCATGTGATTGGCTAAAAATGTATGTCAACAAGCAGTTGTATCACCTGTAATAAAGTGGCTGTTGGGTGTTGTTTTTACAATACATTGATTCCATTTTAAGATCGTAACATAAATAACTGAATCTGAAAGTCATGCCAAGCACAAAAACCTAATAGAGAGCTATTTAACCCAGTCAGTGTTGATCTCGTCGAAATGACGTTAATGCCATAACCGCATTAACGCGGCAAATCTCCGTCAGCAACTTAGCGCAGATCGCCCCGTGGCAGCTAAATGTTGTATTAAACACAACCATAAACAGTGCTACACATAAGCAGACTTAATAAAATCAAATTAAATTACAAAAAAGGAAACTAAGTAAAAAACTAAAAATAATTTTCCTTAAGGGTCATGCTTAGTAATGTAGTGTAAATAACAACAGCATTTCTCACTGTTTTATGATTTTCCTTGTAGTTACTTTCGTCATGCAGCTGGTGATCCGTCGGTACCGTCCTGCAGACAAGGACACAGTGCTCACCCTCTTCAGTACTGGCATCTTGGAGCATATCCGTCCATGTTTCTATAACGCCATGACCAGTCCCCTTTACCTCACCATCACCTCGACTCTGTGTGTTGTTGGTTATCTCCTTGGCTCTGTGTTTGGAGCTGTACTGTTCCCAGCAGCTTGGGTAGGTCTCATCTACTACTGCTGTCATGAAGTATATGCCACCGTCGTCAGGGTGAGACTTCGCAACGACATGCAGGACATCCCTGGGAATTTCCTCAGCAGACCTGATGACTGTTTCTGGGTGGCTGAGGCTGAGGTTGGAGCGAGAGCCCAGGTTGTTGGTATGGTGGCTGTGGTAGCTAAACACAGTGGGACAGAAAAGTATGGGGAAATGTTCAGAATGATCATTTTCCCACAGTATAGACGGATGGGCCTCGGCTTTAGGTTGACTCAGACCGCGGTTGACTTCTGTAAAGAACGGGGCTTCTCCAAGGTGGTGTTGCAGACTACCTCCACCCAAATGGCAGCCGTGGTTCTGTACAGCAAAGTGGGGTTTAACCGTGTCCTGTCTAATGTCAAAGGACTGGCAGCTCCCTGGATCATTTCACTGGCCAGGGTCACGATTATAAGGATGGAAAAATACTTGTAAATCAAAAATAACACTCATCAGCAGTGTGTTGTTTTCACGCTTGGCTCCTCTTTAACAGTGGTTTAATATTTGGCAATGGTTAGACTTGACTGTAACCAAAACGTTGTTCAGGTGTAACTTTGGAAAAAAATGCCAAATCTGTTATATACTTTAGGACAAAGCACTATGAACAGATCTGAAAGTAAGGAGCAAGATGTTGTTACTAAAACCTGGTTTCCTCTTTATAGAGTACTTTACATATTCTCTGACTACACCTTAAGCCCCCCAAAAATTGTCTGTTAACAACATAAGGCCAATTAGCAGCTCCAGTCCTTTGAACCAAGATTTAACAGTTAATCCTTACATTGTGTACTTTTCAGTGACGATTAGAATAACTTAATGTAATCAGATGTACTGACCACTTTCAGCTGTATTCATTTAAAAAAGAAAGAAAGAAATGTTTTAAAATGTCATTAACTGAGATACAGATAACATATTGTAAGCACATGATACAAAGATACATGTCGTAATAATATTAATAATAAAACCATTAACTTTTAAAAGGCAAACGTAGAGAATTTATATGCATCAGAGTGGACTTAAAATTCTCATTAAACTCTTCCATTGTTTTACACCTTTTTTCCTTGATGTAATCAGAATAACTGAGATATTTGCTTATGAAATGAAGACATGATTATTAAGACTGATAATGTTGAAAATTAAATCACAAATCTAAATTCAGTATGTTGTGCCCCAGCCTGTACTGTAGATGTGAATGTGAACAGCAGAGGACACTATTGATCTAAGTAACACTGAAGCTCTTTTGATGAAAATCAGTATTTACTGATATTGTACTGTATTTACTTCCTTTTATACCAGAAAGTATTAGGAGTTTAAAATATGTGTGCACCAACAACAGTGCTGGGAAGTAAATACAGTACATTTTCTAATATGTTTTGTGAACACAAGTTTTATATCTAGAATATGTTGTGATAGACTGTGATGCAGAATATGAAACAATAACAGATGACCTAGTGCACAACCTTTCATGGGTAATGGTAGCAGTTTGAAACTCACTGACTGCTGTAGCTGGTGTTCATTACAACTTCCAACATTTTAAAAATTCTATGTGGTTTGATTTGTCATTTTTCAGACCAGAAAGGAAAAACATAGTATCTCCTGCAGTTAGCAAAAGACCACAAGGACTCCTCCCATTGTTTTTTGTGTTTTCCCATGCTGTACTGAAAACTAATTCCCCTCTAAGTGAAGCAAAATATGCATTTTTCTATGCTCAGGAGATACTTTGTTGTTCGTGTAAACACACTTTTGAGTTGTCTGCCTATTTTTCTAGTTTACCATTAGGGGGTGCCAAATATTTGAATCCTAAATAGAGTATCCTGGGCACGGTACAGTAAAATTCAGTTTTACGTGGATTTCCGGTTGATAGTTTTTCTAAGAACTGAACAAATTATTTAAATCAACACTGATCAGTATTGGCAGAAAATTGTAGGAACTGTGCTGGAAAGACCAATATTTGTGTGTATAGTATTCTTCTAGTCATTTTGTGTTTCATTTCTGAGAGCACGCCATATGTCTCAGGTTACTGAACACCTGAATGATGAGGGGTTAATATGCCACTTTTCTGCATGATCTACATCAGTCACAGAAAACAGGCTCCAGATATAAAAGGAAAGGATAAAAACAGCCTTTGATATATGTGTCACACAAAAGATGATTGTTATGTAACAGACCATCTTATACAGAATAAAATATTATTTCATTTAAAGAAAATTCAGGTTCATTTCAATCATACTTTCTTTGTGGCCTTTTGGTAACTTTACTGTCTTCACTTCTGCCACAAATCAGCTGCCACGTGAACATGCTCACTGCTGTCAATAAATTTTTTTCACATGTGATTACACACAGGTATGAAGATAAAAACAGAACCAGGTGTGCCTGGATTAACTTTAATTTACTGCTCTGCTGCCAGCTGAGGGGGTGAACCTGAGTGAGACCTGTTAAATGTGTTTGCGACACAAGGACCATAAGACATAGCAGTTTGTTTTAGGCTGTACGCTTTCCAGTGCGCTCCCGTCAATGCTGTCCTCTCCAACCCACAGAGATCTCTTCTGGGCCCCAGCAGCTACTGAAATAGGGAAGGCGTGGTTTGTGTGATGGACCTCAGCTGTGGAGGTACCGTCCCTCGAACCCACTGCTCGATCCATCCCTTGCAGCTGAGCCACAAACCACACTCCACCACAGTGTTAAAACACTGAGGTCCTGGAGATGGCATGTCATCCTTGCCAGAGTCAAATGAAAGAAGAAAAAAAAAAGGCTGGTTGTATCTCCTGTAGCATTTAGAAATTGGAAACTATTACTACCAATTACTGTATCAATTGAAAAGTATTTTATGTGCAAAACTTATGCTAAACTGTAAGTCACAACCTTACCTGTAGACAAATTGGTATATGCAGGTAACTATGTTAGCAGCAAGATGCTTTAAATGGAAATTTGTCAGGCAAGAAGCAAAATGGCCTCTTGTTTCTTGGCTATGGATTAAACTGTAGACAACAAAACGAGTACTGAATCAGGGTTTAAAAAGAGCATCTCAGTCTGTAGTTTTACTCACTTGTGTACCTATCTTTGATCCTTCCAGATGGGTGTAACTCTAAGAGTGGTTAGGTAATTAATGTTGCTTTATTTTCTGTCTATAAACTAACTTACCAAACTTAAGAATTAAAATGACATTAAAAAGTAACAGAACAATTATACTCAACGTGTATTCATTAGATATATTAAATGTAATTATTGCAATTCAAACAGAGACTAATTTTGCATGTAAAATGAGAAGTAAGAGCTGGTGAGAGGTCGAAGCTAAACACATGACGATCTGTATGTTGCTTTTGCATATATCCTACATCAATAAATACTGGAAACAACAAAGGGAGTGGAAATTTCTAAGTATGTGAGGTATGTTGCATGTGTACAGTAGCATGCATGTGACTCCTGTTTCATCATATTTGACAGCAGCCATCTTCGGTCAGTATTTTACTGCTCTTCAAAGGACTTGTTGTCCATTATTTGGTCTCTGTCATATGAGAAAAGTACGAAAAGTCACGTAAACCTGTTGATGACAGCCATGAGCTGTATTTCAGTTTGTTGATGGTAACTCACAGAAATATCGATTGCGAGTTGTTCACACAGTCGCCAGCGTTCACATGCTCTCTGCAGATAAACTGGCCAGCCCCCAGATAGACTGCAAACGCGCTACTCCCGCTGAACCATAAATTCCGCTTTTGCGATTTTTGACTCTTCCGCGTTGCCTTCGTTTTTGGCCCCGCAGGTTGTTGGAAGGTTGTGATTTCTGCAGGAAAACGTTCTGCATGGTTGACTTTGTGTAACATTTTTGTGTAATAGTAGAGGATGTTTAACACTTTTACAGCTGTACTTTGAACCGAATCATCCCATCGAAGTATTACATGGGCTTTGAGAGTCAAGCTTTTGTGCTGCTTTTGTGTTTTATTAACCAGTCTAGAAGTTGAGCTGATTCACGGTGTTGCTGCGCTTCTTCATTGTTTCGTGTGAACTCTTCTCCGTGAAGTATCAACTTGTGCAAGTTCACTAACGTAAGGCAGAGGTAATTGTGCGATTGTAATATGACTATCAGACAAATTTGTTACACAGCAACTCATATAATCGTTTCTTGTGTTGTTGTTTTTTTATTAAGTTGGATAAGGTCTGTTAGAGACCTGTTGGTGGTGCACGAACAGGCCTGTGCTGTTGCTGAATGAGTTGAGTTTGGTGTAACGTGAGTGTGATCATATGTACAGACACTGTGTAACGGGTTTTCTGGCATTTAGACACATTTGATACCATTATATCCATGACGTAATGACATAGCATTAAACCATCACGTTAGCTCGTCCTTATTGCGTGCCGTGTGCATTTAAAAGTGCAAAGACTGTAAAATAACGAGTACGTTCTGTGTGGAGAAGTATTTTAAATCAAGGCAAAGATGGAGATGTATCAGATTGTTGTCTTGTTAAAAGGAAAAATGAACATTTTTGAGCAGGTACACCTGACTTTCAGCTATTTAGTTGAAAACTGAAACTACTGCTCGTCTTCACTACGAACCAATCTGCAGATTACATTCCCCAGCCACTTTATTAGGTACATCTTGCTAATACTTGGTCAGTTTGGCATTTGCATTCAGAACTGCCTTAATTCATCATGGCATAGATTCAAGGAGGTGTGGGAAATATTCTCAAGAGATTTTGGTCCACGTTGACATGATAGCATCACAGAGTTCTGATGCAGATTTGTTAGCTGCACATCTAGGATGTAACTTTCCACATCCCAAAGGTGCTCTGTTGGATTGAGACCCGGTGAGTGTGGAGGCAATTTCAGTACAGTGAACTCACCGTTAACCACTTTGAGATTATTTGAGTTTTATGACATTGTGCTTTATCCTGATGAAAGCTGCCATCAAAGGATGCACTGGTACACTGTGGTGATAAATACTACCCAAGTATTGGAGATTATGTATCGGAATTTCAGGAGCGGGACCACGCCTCCAAACACGCTCCTTCCGGTTGTCATCTATATAGGTTCCCCCCAGTTCTGCAAACTGTTCATTCTGGTTCACGTGCCCCATCCTCCCTCCCTCCTTGTTCTCAATTCTTTAACTTATTCACTCCTATTTAGTACACGGGGATCTGCCAGGCCCGGGAGCCATCACCAGTCCTCTTTGAGGCCTTCCCCAAACCGCACCTCAATTAATGTCCAAGCATTCACCTTTACCTACTAAAACGCTGTCAAACCTAAAATGAGGACGTGGGCCCAGCTAGTGAAGAGTCAGCAATGATACTCAGGTAGGCTGTGACATTTAAAAGATGCTCAGCCAGTGCTAAGTGCCCAAAGTGTGGCAAGAAAAGACATTCATTAGACCAGGCAACATTTTCTAGTATTGTGTTGTCCAATTTTGCTGACGCTTTAGTCTCAGCTTTCTGTTCATAGCCGAGTATGTTTAAAAATGCTCGTCTATATAACTTCGTTGTAACAAGTGGTTATTTGAATTATTGTTTCTATCCTATCTGCTGAAAGCTGTCTGGCCATTTTCCTCTGCCTTTTCAACACGACAATAAAAAGTTCTACACATTAAAAAAATTTTTTTATAAAATCAAATTAAATTATGAAAAAGGAAACTAAGTAAAAAACTAAAAATAATTTTCCTTAAGGGTCATGCTTAGTAATGTAGTGTAAATAACAACAGCATTTCTCACTGTTTTATGATTTTCCTTGTAGTTACTTTCGTCATGCAGCTGGTGATCCGTCGGTACCGTCCTGCAGACAAGGACACAGTGCTCACCCTCTTCAGTACTGGCATCTTGGAGCATATCCGTCCATGTTTCTATAACGCCATGACCAGTCCCCTTTACCTCACCATCACCCCGACTCTGTGTGCTGTTGGTTATCTCCTTGGCTCTGTGTTTGGAGCTGTACTGTTCCCAGCAGCTTGGGTAGGTCTCATCTACTACTGCTGTCATGAAGTATATGCCAGCTTCGTCAGGGTGAGACTTCGCACCGACATGCAGGACATCCCTGGGAACTTCCTCAGCAGACCTGATGACTGTTTCTGGGTGGCTGAGGCTGAGGTTGGAGCGAGAGCCCAGGTTGTTGGTATGGTGGCTGTGGTAGCTAAACACAGTGGGACAGAAAAGTATGGGGAAATGTTCAGAATGATCATTTTCCCACAGTATAGACGGATGGGCCTCGGCTTTAGGTTGACTCAGACCGCGGTTGACTTCTGTAAAGAACGGGGCTTCTGCAAGGCGGTGTTGGAGACTAGCTCCACCCAAATGGCAGCTGTGGCCCTGTACAGCAAAGTGGGGTTTAACCGTGTCCAGTCTCATATCAAAGCACAGGCAGCTCATTGGATCATTTCACTGGCCAGGGTCACGATTATAAGGATGGAAAAATACTTGTAAATCAAAAATAACACTCATCAGCAGTGTGTTGTTTTCACGCTTGGCTCCTCTTTAACAGTGGTTTAATATTTGGCAATGGTTAGACTTGACTGTAACCAAAACGTTGTTCAGGTGTAACTTTGGAAAAAAATGCCAAATCTGTTATATACTTTAGGACAAAGCACTATGAACAGATCTGAAAGTAAGGAGCAAGATGTTGTTACTAAAACCTGGTTTCCTCTTTATAGAGTACTTTACATATTCTCTGACTACACCTTAAGCCCCCCAAAAATTGTCTGTTAACAACATAAGGCCAATTAGCAGCTCCAGTCCTGTGAACCAAGATTTAACAGTTAATCCTTACATTGTGTACTTTTCAGTGACGATTAGAATAACTTAATGTAATCAGATGTACTGACCACTTTCAGCTGTATTCATTTAAAAAAGAAAGAAAGAAATGTTTTAAAATGTCATTAACTGAGATACAGATAACATATTGTAAGCACATGATACAAAGATACATGTCGTAATAATATTAATAATAAAACCATTAACTTTTAAAAGGCAAACGTAGAGAATTTATATGCATCAGAGTGGACTTAAAATTCTCATTAAACTCTTCCATTGTTTTACACCTTTTTTCCTTGATGTAATCAGGATAACTGAGATATTTGCTTATGAAATGAAGACATGATTATTAAGACTGATAATGTTGAAAATTAAATCACAAATCTAAATTCAGTATGTTGTGCCCCAGCCTGTACTGTAGATGTGAATGTGAACAGCAGAGGACACTATTGATCTAAGTAACACTGAAGCTCTTTTGATGAAAATCAGTATTTACTGATATTGTACTGTATTTACTTCCTTTTATACCAGAAAGTATTAGGAGTTTAAAATATGTGTGCACCAACAACAGTGCTGGGAAGTAAATACAGTACATTTTCTAATATGTTTTGTGAACACAAGTTTTATATCTAGAATATGTTGTGATAGACTGTGATGCAGAATATGAAACAATAACAGATGACCTAGTGCACAACCTTTCATGGGTAATGGTAGCAGTTTGAAACTCACTGACTGCTGTAGCTGGTGTTCATTACAACTTCCAACATTTTAAAAATTCTATGTGGTTTGATTTGTCATTTTTCAGACCAGAAAGGAAAAACATAGTATCTCCTGCAGTTAGCAAAAGACCACAAGGACTCCTCCCATTGTTTTTTGTGTTTTCCCATGCTGTACTGAAAACTAATTCCCCTCTAAGTGAAGCAAAATATGCATTTTTCTATGCTCAGGAGATACTTTGTTGTTCGTGTAAACACACTTTTGAGTTGTCTGCCTATTTTTCTAGTTTACCATTAGGGGGTGCCAAATATTTGAATCCTAAATAGAGTATCCTGGGCACGGTACAGTAAAATTCAGTTTTACGTGGATTTCCGGTTGATAGTTTTTCTAAGAACTGAACAAATTATTTAAATCAACACTGATCAGTATTGGCAGAAAATTGTAGGAACTGTGCTGGAAAGACCAATATTTGTGTGTATAGTATTCTTCTAGTCATTTTGTGTTTCATTTCTGAGAGCACGCCATATGTCTCAGGTTACTGAACACCTGAATGATGAGGGGTTAATATGCCACTTTTCTGCATGATCTACATCAGTCACAGAAAACAGGCTCCAGATATAAAAGGAAAGGATAAAAACAGCCTTTGATATATGTGTCACACAAAAGATGATTGTTATGTAACAGACCATCTTATACAGAATAAAATATTATTTCATTTAAAGAAAATTCAGGTTCATTTCAATCATACTTTCTTTGTGGCCTTTTGGTAACTTTACTGTCTTCACTTCTGCCACAAATCAGCTGCCACGTGAACATGCTCACTGCTGTCAATAAATTTTTTTCACATGTGATTACACACAGGTATGAAGATAAAAACAGAACCAGGTGTGCCTGGATTAACTTTAATTTACTGCTCTGCTGCCAGCTGAGGGGGTGAACCTGAGTGAGACCTGTTAAATGTGTTTGCGACACAAGGACCATAAGACATAGCAGTTTGTTTTAGGCTGTACGCTTTCCAGCGCGCTCCCGTCAATGCTGTCCTCTCCAACCCTCAGAGATCTCTTCTGGGCCCCAGCAGCTACTGAAATAGGGAAGGCGTGGTTTGTGTGATGGACCTCAGCTGTGGAGGTACCGTCCCCCGAACCCACTGCTCGATCCATCCCTTGCAGCTGAGCCACAAACCACACTCCACCACAGTGTTAAAACACTGAGGTCCTGGAGATGGCATGTCATCCTTGCCAGAGTCAAATGAAAGAAGAAAAAAAAAAGGCTGGTTGTATCTCCTGTAGCATTTAGAAATTGGAAACTATTACTACCAATTACTGTATCAATTGAAAAGTATTTTATGTGCAAAACTTATGCTAAACTGTAAGTCACAACCTTACCTGTAGACAAATTGGTATATGCAGGTAACTATGTTAGCAGCAAGATGCTTTAAATGGAAATTTGTCAGGCAAGAAGCAAATGGCCTCTTGTTTCTTGGCTATGGATTAAACTGTAGACAACAAAACGAGTACTGAATCAGGGTTTAAAAAGAGCATCTCAGTCTGTAGTTTTACTCACTTGTGTACCTATCTTTGATCCTTCCAGATGGGTGTAACTCTAAGAGTGGTTAGGTAATTAATGTTGCTTTATTTTCTGTCTATAAACTAACTTACCAAACTTAAGAATTAAAATGACATTAAAAAGTAACAGAACAATTATACTCAACGTGTATTCATTAGATATATTAAATGTAATTATTGCAATTCAAACAGAGACTAATTTTGCATGTAAAATGAGAAGTAAGAGCTGGTGAGAGGTCGAAGCTAAACACATGACGATCTGTATGTTGCTTGTGCATATATCCTACATCAATAAATACTGGAAACAACAAAGGGAGTGGAAATTTCTAAGTATGTGAGGTATGTTGCATGTGTACAGTAGCATGCATGTGACTCCTGTTTCATCATATTTGACAGCAGCCATCTTCGGTCAGTATTTTACTGCTCTTCAAAGGACTTGTTGTCCATTATTTGGTCTCTGTCATATGAGAAAAGTACGAAAAGTCACGTAAACCTGTTGATGACAGCCATGAGCTGTATTTCAGTTTGTTGATGGTAACTCACAGAAATATCGATTGCGAGTTGTTCACACAGTCGCCAGCGTTCACATGCTCTCTGCAGATAAACTGGCCAGCCCCCAGATAGACTGCAAACGCGCTACTCCCGCTGAACCATAAATTCCGCTTTTGCGATTTTTGACTCTTCCGCGTTGCCTTCGTTTTTTGGCCCCGCAGGTTGTTGGAAGGTTGTGATTTCTGCAGGAAAACGTTCTGCATGGTTGACTTTGTGTAACATTTTTGTGTAACAGTAGAGGATGTTTAACACTTTTACAGCTGTACTTTGAACCGAATCATCCCATCGAAGTATTACATGGGCTTTGAGAGTCAAGCCTTTGTGCTGCTTTTGTGTTTTATTAACCAGTCTAGAAGTTGAGCTGATTCACGGTGTTGCTGCGCTTCTTCATTGTTTCGTGTGAACTCTTCTCCGTGAAGTATCAACTTGTGCAAGTTCACTAACGTAAGGCAGAGGTAATTGTGCGATTGTAATATGACTAGCAGACAAATTTGTTACACAGCAACTCATATAATCGTTTCTTGTGTTGTTGTTTTTTTATTAAGTTGGATAAGGTCTGTTAGAGACCTGTTGGTGGTGCACGAACAGGCCTGTGCTGTTGCTGAATGAGTTGAGTTTGGTGTAACGTGAGTGTGATCATATGTACAGACACTGTGTAACGGGTTTTCTGGCATTTAGACACATTTGATACCATTATATCCATGACGTAATGACATAGCATTAAACCATCACGTTAGCTCGTCCTTATTGCGTGCCGCGTGCATTTAAAAGTGCAAAGACTGTAAAATAACGAGTACGTTCTGTGTGGAGAAGTATTTTAAATCAAGGCAAAGATGGAGATGTATCAGATTGTTGTCTTGTTAAAAGGAAAAATGAACATTTTTGAGCAGGTACACCTGACTTTCAGCTATTTAGTTGAAAACTGAAACTACTGCTCGTCTTCACTACGAACCAATCTGCAGATTACATTCACCAGCCACTTTATTAGGTACATCTTGCTAATACTTGGTCAGTTTGGCATTTGCATTCAGAACTGCCTTAATTCATCATGGCATAGATTCAAGGAGGTGTGGGAAATATTCTCAAGAGATTTTGGTCCACGTTGACATGATAGCATCACAGAGTTCTGATGCAGATTTGTTAGCTGCACATCTAGGATGTAACTTTCCACATCCCAAAGGTGCTCTGTTGGATTGAGACCCGGTGAGTGTGGAGGCAATTTCAGTACAGTGAACTCACCGTTAACCACTTTGAGATTATTTGAGTTTTATGACATTGTGCTTTATCCTGATGAAAGCTGCCATCAAAGGATGCACTGGTACACTGTGGTGATAAATACTACCCAAGTATTGGAGATTATGTATCGGAATTTCAGGAGCGGGACCACGCCTCCAAACACGCTCCTTCCGGTTGTCATCTATATAGGTTCCCCCCAGTTCTGCAAACTGTTCATTCTGGTTCACGTGCCCCATCCTCCCTCAATTCTTTAACTTATTCACTCCTATTTAGTACACGGGGATCTGCCAGGCCCGGGAGCCATCACCAGTCCTCTTTGAGGCCTTCCCCAAACCGCACCTCAATTAATGTCCAAGCATTCACCTTTACCTACTAAAATGCTGTCAAACCTAAAATGAGGACGTGGGCCCAGCTAGTGAAGAGTCAGCAATGATACTCAGGTAGGCTGTGACATTTAAAAGATGCTCAGCCAGTGCTAAGTGCCCAAAGTGTGGCAAGAAAAGACATTCATTAGACCAGGCAACATTTTTCTAGTATTGTGTTGTCCAATTTTGCTGACGCTTTAGTCTCAGCTTTCTGTTCATAGCCGAGTATGTTTAAAAATGCTCGTCTATATAACTTCGTTGTAACAAGTGGTTATTTGAATTATTGTTTCTATCCTATCTGCTGAAAGCTGTCTGGCCATTTTCCTCTGCCTTTTCAACACGACAATAAAAAGTTCTACACATTAAAAAAAATTTTTTATAAAATCAAATTAAATTATGAAAAAGGAAACTAAGTAAAAAACTAAAAATAATTTTCCTTAAGGGTCATGCTTAGTAATGTAGTGTAAATAACAACAGCATTTCTCACTGTTTATGATTTTCCTTGTAGTTACTTTCGTCATGCAGCTGGTGATCCGTCGGTACCGTCCTGCAGACAAGGACACAGTGCTCACCCTCTTCAGTACTGGCATCTTGGAGCATATCCGTCCATGTTTCTATAACGCCATGACCAGTCCCCTTTACCTCACCATCACCCCGACTCTGTGTGCTGTTGGTTATCTCCTTGGCTCTGTGTTTGGAGCTGTACTGTTCCCAGCAGCTTGGGTAGGTCTCATCTACTACTGCTGTCATGAAGTATATGCCAGCTTCGTCAGGGTGAGACTTCGCACCGACATGCAGGACATCCCTGGGAACTTCCTCAGCAGACCTGATGACTGTTTCTGGGTGGCTGAGGCTGAGGTTGGAGCGAGAGCCCAGGTTGTTGGTATGGTGGCTGTGGTAGCTAAACACAGTGGGACAGAAAAGTATGGGGAAATGTTCAGAATGATCATTTTCCCACAGTATAGACGGATGGGCCTCGGCTTTAGGTTGACTCAGACCGCGGTTGACTTCTGTAAAGAACGGGGCTTCTGCAAGGCGGTGTTGGAGACTAGCTCCACCCAAATGGCAGCTGTGGCCCTGTACAGCAAAGTGGGGTTTAACCGTGTCCAGTCTCATATCAAAGCACAGGCAGCTCATTGGATCATTTCACTGGCCAGGGTCACGATTATAAGGATGGAAAAATACTTGTAAATCAAAAATAACACTCATCAGCAGTGTGTTGTTTTCACGCTTGGCTCCTCTTTAACAGTGGTTTAATATTTGGCAATGGTTAAACTTGACTGTAACCAAAATGTTGTTCAGGTGTAACTTTGGAAGAAAATGCCCAATCTGTTATATACTTTAGGACAAAGCACTATGAACAGATCTGAAAGTAAGGAGCAAGATGTTGTTACTAAAACCTGGTTTCCTCTTTATAGAGTACTTTACATATTCTCTGACTACACCTTAAGCCCCCCAAAAATTGTCTGTTAACAACATAAGGCCAATTAGCAGCTCCAGTCCTGTGAACCAAGATTTAACAGTTAATCCTTACATTGTGTACTTTTCAGTGACGATTAGAATAACTTAATGTAATCAGATGTACTGACCACTTTCTGCTGTATTCATTTAAAAAAGAAAGAAAGAAATGTTTTAAAATGTCATTAACTGAGATACAGATAACATATTGTAAGCACATGATACAAAGATACATGTCGTAATAATATTAATAATAAAACCATTAACTTTTAAAAGGCAAACGTAGAGAATTTATATGCATCAGAGTGGACTTAAATTCTCATTAAACTCTTCCATTGTTTTACACCTTTTTTCCTTGATGTAATCAGAATAACTGAGATATTTGCTTATGAAATGAAGACATGATTATTAAGACTGATGATGTTGAAAATTAAATCACAAATCTAAATTCAGTATGTTGTGCCCCAGCCTGTACTGTAGATGTGAATGTGAACAGCAGAGGACACTATTGATCTAAGTAACACTGAAGCTCTTTTGATGAAAATCAGTATTTACTGATATTGTACTGTATTTACTTCCTTTTATACCAGAAAGTATTAGGAGTTTAAAATATGTGTGCACCAACAACAGTGCTGGGAAGTAAATACAGTACATTTTCTAATATGTTTTGTGAACACAAGTTTTATATCTAGAATATGTTGTGATAGACTGTGATGCAGAATATGAAACAATAACAGATGACCTAGTGCACAACCTTTCATGGGTAATGGTAGCAGTTTGAAACTCACTGACTGCTGTAGCTGGTGTTCATTACAACTTCCAACATTTTAAAAATTCTATGTGGTTTGATTTGTCATTTTTCAGACCAGAAAGGAAAAACATAGTATCTCCTGCAGTTAGCAAAAGACCACAAGGACTCCTCCCATTGTTTTTTGTGTTTTCCCATGCTGTACTGAAAACTAATTCCCCTCTAAGTGAAGCAAAATATGCATTTTTCTATGCTCAGGAGATACTTTGTTGTTCGTGTAAACACACTTTTGAGTTGTCTGCCTATTTTTCTAGTTTACCATTAGGGGGTGCCAAATATTTGAATCCTAAATAGAGTATCCTGGGCACGGTACAGTAAAATTCAGTTTTACGTGGATTTCCGGTTGATAGTTTTTCTAAGAACTGAACAAATTATTTAAATCAACACTGATCAGTATTGGCAGAAAATTGTAGGAATTGTAGAGCACGCCATATGTCTCAGGTTACTGAACACCTGAATGATGAGGGGTTAATATGCCACTTTTCTGCATGATCTACATCAGTCACAGAAAACAGGCTCCAGATATAAAAGGAAAGGATAAAAACAGCCTTTGTTATATGTGTCACACAAAAGATGATTGTTATGTAACAGACCATCTTATACAGAATAAAATATTATTTCATTTAAAGAAAATTCAGGTTCATTTCAATCATACTTTCTTTGTGGCCTTTTGGTAACTTTACTGTCTTCACTTCTGCCACAAATCAGCTGCCACGTGAACATGCTCACTGCTGTCAATATTTTTTTTCACATGTGATTACACACAGGTATGAAGATAAAAACAGAACCAGGTGTGCCTGGATTAACTTTAATTTACTGCTCTGCTGCCAGCTGAGGGGATGAACCTGAGTGAGACCTGTTAAATGTGTTTGTGACACAAGGACCATAAGACATAGCAGTTTGTTTTAGGCTGTACGCTTTCCAGCGCGCTCCCGTCAATGCTGTCCTCTCCAACCCTCAGAGATCTCTTCTGGGCCCCAGCAGCTACTGAAATAGGGAAGGCGTGGTTTGTGTGATGGACCTCAGCTGTGGAGGTACCGTCCCCCGAACCCACTGCTCGATCCATCCCTTGCAGCTGAGCCACAAACCACACTCCACCACAGTGTTAAAACACTGAGGTCCTGGAGATGGCATGTCATCCTTGCCAGAGTCAAATGAAAGAAAAGAAAATAAGACTGGTTGTATCTCCTGTAGCATTTAGAAATTGGAAACTATTACTACCAATTACTGTATCAATTGAAAAGTATTTTATGTGCAAAACTTATGCTAAACTGTAAGTCACAACCTTACCTGTAGACAAATTGGTATATGCAGGTAACTATGTTAGCAGCAAGATGCTTTAAATGGAAATTTGTAAGGCAAGAAGCAAAATGGCCTCTTGTTTCTTGGCTATGGATTAAACTGTAGACAACAAAACGAGTACTGAATCAGGGTTTAAAAGAGCATCTCAGTCTGTAGTTTTACTCACTTGTGTACCTATCTTTGATCCTTCCAGATGGGTGTAACTCTAAGAGTGGTTAGGTAATTAATGTTGCTTTATTTTCTGTCTATAAACTAACTTACCAAACTTAAGAATTAAAATGACATTAAAAAGTAACAGAACAATTATACTCAACGTGTATTCATTAGATATATTAAATGTAATCATTGCAATTCAAACAGAGACTAATTTTGCATGTAAAATGAGAAGTAAGAGCTGGTGAGAGGTCGAAGCTAAACACATGACGATCTGTATGTTGCTTGTGCATATATCCTACATCAATAAATACTGGAAACAACAAAGGGAGTGGAAATTTCTAAGTATGTGAGGTATGTTGCATGTGTACAGTAGCATGCATGTGACTCCTGTTTCATCATATTTGACAGCAGCCATCTTGGGTCAGTATTTTACCGCTCTTCAAAGGACTTCTTGTCCATTATTTGGTCTCTGTCAGAAGATAAATGTACGAAAAGTCACGTAAACCTGTTGACAGCACAAAATATCTAAAGAATTGCTTTGATTTACTCTGGTGCCACTTTGTCTGAAAAAATATTGTTTCCCTCTGTTGTGACATTTTTGGTTACAGAAAGTCATTTCAACATAAGATGAGAGCAAATCAATATCACGTTTAGGCAGTCTGAGATATTGTGGAGATAAATAAAGAGATAAAAAAATAAATAAAATAAAATAAATACAAAAATATATATATATATATATATATGTGTGTGTTGGTGCGTGCGTTTTTGGTATATATATATATATATATATATAAAAACACCCAGCACGCCCCTGCGGGCGGTTTATCCTTCAAGCTCGGGTCCTCTACCAGAGGCCTGGGAGCTTGAGGGTCCTGCGCATTATCTTAGCTGTTCCCAGGACTGCGCTCTTCTGGACAGAGATCTCCGATGTTGTTCCCGGGATCTGCTGGAGCCACTCGCCTAGCTTGGGAGTCACTGCACCTAGTGCTCCGATTACCACGGGGACCACCGTTACCTTCACCCTCCACATCCTCTCGAGCTCTTCTCTGAGCCCTTGGTATTTCTCCAGCTTCTCGTGTTCCTTCTTCCTGATATTGCTGTCATTCGGAACCGCTACATCGATCACTACGGCCGTCTTCTTC